TCATCTATTGGCAATGTCCACTTGAACAGATTTTTCAACATTCAAGTAAGGATTACTAAACAGAGTAGGGGAAGGATATATGGAGGCCTATGAAAAGACAGTGTAGCAGAAGGAAAATGCACAATGCTCAAAAGAGTTAGGCAAGAGAACATTTTAGAATACAACTTTCTGTAAAATAAAAAAAAAAAAAGAAGTTTGGGAATGAGCAACACCTGTAAGACTAAAGGCAAAAGAAAATGTACTCTAGTTGATCAAGTTATTTTCCACGGAGGTATAGATTGACGATTCTGATACTGCTATAATGTATGCTGAAACTGAATAATAAATAAATGGATTACGGGTAGTGAGAGCCTGGTTTCTCAATATTTGAGCACGAGTTTACGGATAACGAAGAAAAGGAAGCTAGAATGATCCGTGTAATACTGAATTAGAGTTGGAGATATCAGTATGAACCTGTGTTTAGCTTAATATAGGTAAGATGGTTACACATAGAAATATTTATAGACATGTGTATATATAGAGGTTAGTATACACAAATATATTTCCTTGTTGACAGCTGAGTGGGCCTAGAAGCAAGGACACCCCAGCACCAACCAGAACACCTAGCTCCCAGATCTTGGCTTCTAAAACCATTCTTCAATAAAAGGAACAAGGGCTTCATGGAGAAATGGCTGATTCTAGAACCGGAGCAGGATATAGATGAGCCCAGAGCATCCTGAAGTGCCATAAAATAAAGAAGTGCTCAAAAACACATTTCCTGGGGTATGTCAAATGTACACAGGAGCCAAGTGAAAGAGCTCTCAATGGCTAAGGCTGGAACAATACGAGCAACAGAATAAAGTAACACAGGCATACCTCGGAGATACTGTGGGTTCAGGTCAATACCACGGCAATAAAGCAAACATCAAATAAAGCAAGTCACATGAGTTGTTTGGTTTCCCAGTGCATATAAAAGTTATGTTTACACTATACTGTAGTCTGCTAAATATCCAATAGTATTATGTCTAAAAAGAAATGTACATATCTTAATTTAAAAATACTTTATTGCTAAAAAGTGCTAACCATCATCTGAGCCTTCAGTGAGTAGTCATCTTTTTGCTGGTAGAGGGTCTTGTAAAAAACGTGGTATCTGTGAAGTGCAATAAAATGAGGTATGCCTGTACTAGATTATAACCCAAACTATAAAATAAATACCCATAAGCCATACTGATATACATGATTGAATCAATCAATAAATAAATGGGGGAGAATGGAGAAATTTCCAATGCAGAAGAATTCCAAATAATTTATGTGGATACTAACCCCTCAGGAGGTGCAGCATAACTCTCTACCTCCTGAGTGTGGGCTCTGCATAGTGATTTCCTTCCAAAAAGTACAGTACGGGAAGGGGGAAAAACAGTCAACTTACAGTGGAGAAATCTGACAAACACTGCCTCAGCCAGGTGATCAAGGTTACCATCAACAGTGATAAGTCATGTTGATAGTACGTACCCTTGAGAAGATGTGGTGGAAACAGCACTTTATCTCTGTGATCTTCGTCCCCTGAACCCATAACCCCTGTCTAAATCATGAGAAAACCATGAGACAAATTCTAATAAATGGGCTTCCTATAAATACCTGAGCAGTACTCCCTAAAACCATAAGGTCACTAAAAACAAGCCTGAGAACCGCCATAGCCGTGAGGAGCCTAAGGATATAAGACAACTAAATGTAAGGTGGCATTCATTTTTCTGTAAATCTAAAATTGTTCTCAAACAAAAATGTTATTAAAAAAAATTAGAAGACACTTGCCTGATGTCTGCAGATTCAAAAGGATGCATGGTAACGTTACAAAACAGACTTAGGGAGTCATTTGGTAAAACAGGATGAGATGAAGGTAAATACCAAATAGATTACCCGACTTACAATCTTGATTGAAAGCAGTAAAGAGCAGAAGGGACACTTCATTGAACCAGTGATATGACAGACAAACCTAAAAGACTCTTCCAAAATGTGGAGGTAAAGGGAGAACAAACTTGTATGATGAAAAATTAAATTCATGGAAAGTTTTTATCAAATCAAAGTGATCCATGCACATGGCAAAAGGAAAAACAATCAGATAGTATGAGAACTTTTATGATGAAAATCAAGTCTTCCACCCTACTCTCTCTTCTATACCCAGACTGACTCCACAGAGGTGATTTTTTGAAAACTGTTAAAATTTTTTTGAATTTTTTTTTGAGTTATGGGAGATTTTCTTCACTCGACCTTGTAGATTTTCTTTTGATTAAAAACAAAACAAAACATTTCTACCAGTCATATTTTAAATTTAAAAGCTCCTCCATGTTCACTGATGGTTCTTTTTCCATAGCATTGTGCTTGTTTGGTTGTAGCAATATCATTTCAGATTTCTCTGATGATGTTGAGTTTTCTGTTTCCTAAATTTCCTTTTACTCTGTGGTCAGGGCTTGTATTTATCTTGGTTTTCAGACATCTGGTGTCCCTTAGTTTTCTGCTCATATTTAAGAACCGAGTGTTAGGGTGACTATTCCAGACAGTCATATGAGTTTCTGGTTCTGCTGTATCAGTAGATTGGTTTCCTAATGGGTGTCTACCCTGCACGGGAGATCTCACCAGGAGACCAGTATATGTGTGAGACACACAGATTGGCAGGCTTTGATTTAGGTGAGTGGGGGCACTGTCAGGCTGGGGATCCCCCACACAACCAAGTAAAAAGGTTTTACTTTGAAATGTCAACACCCACACTAAAAGCCTTAGTTCTCCTCAGATGGTTTATTCCATTTATTTAGGGCAGAACTTTTTGTGGGAGGAAGGAACTGAAGCTAAACTGCTTCCCTACATAGGTGTGAAAGGGGATGGGAGGTTGGAGAGATGACTGGAATAGATGTTTCACATGTAATCCTTCACCTGATTTCTATGTTCTATTTGATTCTCACTTCCACACACTGTTGGAACTCCTTAAGATTCATGTGGGCAGATGGGTTTCCACCTCCACTGTGATCACCTCCTAGCATATTCTAAGTGTGGCTTTTTCTACACTGTTCCTTCAAAACAATATTTCTCTCACCTTTCCATCTTGTAGAAACATACTGACACCATTTATATGCTCAGTAGTACCCCTATTACATGTCTGCCAGACACAGGGCAAAGTGGACCAACTGAGAGAAGATTTTGAGATCCACAAACCTTCTCCAAAACTTAAGGAAAGTACAGGTTCATTTCAACAACAACAACAAAAAAGGTTTCAAAGTGCTGAAGAGTTATCACTGAGTCTCAAAAATTAATATAAAAGGGGAGAGAAGAAAAAAAAAAGCTCACAGGCCCTATGTTAAAAACAAAACAAAACACAAGGAAGTATAAAAATTAAAAAAGAAAAAAGATAGAAATAATAACAAGGATATCCATTGTAACAATAAATGTACTGAGTAAAAATTTAAACTCGACTATATAAAAACTCAAGAGACATCCAAAAAAAGAACTCCAGAATTGAAGGTAAAGGGATGATTAAAAAAAATAACCAGCAAATATAAACAACAGTAAAATATGCAGGGATAAATTGAATTAAAATTTATATTGAATTAAAAGCACAAATGCATTAACTCAAAGAGGAAACTTTAAATGATTGAAGGTACAACTCATAAGGAAATATGACTGTTATTAAACGCACCAAATAACATAATTGAAATATATTTATAGCAAAACCCTCAGAAAACAAGATATGAAATTAACAATGATATAACAGAAATGAGAGACTAAGGCAATTTTCTCAGTCCTTAAACGAAAAAGTAAACTAAAATTAGGTAATACTACAGTGGATATGAATAATATACTTAATCTGCTAGATAAATCCAGATGGAATGTAGTTTCCATTCAAGCACTTAGGAGAATGCTTACAAAAGCTACTTACTAGGCTACCAAAAAACTCATTAATAAATAAAAAGTAAATATGGTGGTAGAGACCACATTTATAACCAGAATGAAAACCAGAAATGAACACCAAATACAGAAAAAAGTGTCAACCACTCTGAAATTTAAAATTTTGCTTCTACAAAACGCAGATAAAAAAGATAAAAGTACAATTGTAAAATATCTAAGAATCAAAAACAATAAAAACATTGCACATCAAAATCTACAAAGCACAGCTCAAGCTCTACCGGGAGACAATGGCAAGGCCTTACATATATAATTAAACAAGATTAATATGGACTAAACACTCAACAAAGAAAGTGAGAAAAAAAGCAACAAAGTATACTAGGGATTTATAGTTTAAAACGTTAGTTTATTAATTTCTTCGTTCCAATTATTCTTGGTTGGGTTGCCGGTTGGGGTTTTTCGGGTTGTTCCCTTTGCTTTTAGGTTTTCGGGGGGGAACCGTTTTGGTTGTTGGAAGTTCGGGGGGTTTTGGCGTTGTTGGGGTTGGTTTAGTTGTTTTTTAGGGGTTGATCCTTGGATTAACCAAGTTCAGGACTTTTAAGATACTGAATACACGCCTTTGAGGATGATGGTGGGACTCAGGATGAAGAATTAAGATGGTGAGCCAGTGCCATTGGAAGGGAGGCATTAGGAACATGCAGGTTACAAGAATCTGGAGAGTTAGATTAATGAGGTGACACAAATTCGAAGGATTTTACAGCTTCAAGGAACTTGAACAGCTGCTAATTATGCGGAAAGGGTAGTAACTGTCTGCGAATACGGTTGCGTTTAACGGAATAGGTCATAGGTCCGGCAGTAGCTTGAGGTAAGAAGAGCCTTTCCAGATCAGCTCAGATAAAGAGGAGCAGAAAGCAGTTTGCAAATGAGTATCTGAAATAAGAAAGACGCCTGGAGGTTTTAACGTTTTGGGGGAGTGGCCAGGAATGACTGGGAAAGCAAGGCAAGTTGGAATTAACTTTTCTCGGTTGTCTTTTCCAGTTGATCGATCCAGTCACACCTGGTACTTCCATGAGCAATCAATACTAGTCATTCCAAAACCAGCTGATCATGATATATTTACCAGGTTAAGCGCCTGGAGATCGCCCCCATGACAGAAAGGAAGAAGGGACACCAGCGAAGTTCAGTTCCTGGATTGGCAGAACTGGACCCAGACCCCAGCGGTCCTGGACCCCACCCTCACCCCCTTGATCTCTGCTCTCTGACGCTCTAGCTTCCCGCCGCCGCCCTCGCCTCCACCCCTGTCAGCGCGCGCCCTCCCCCAGCTTCTCCCGCAGACAGCGGAGCGCGGTGCTGGGGTCCGCGTCACTGCGAAAAGGCCGAGGACAAGCGCGCGTTGCTGGACGCCCTCGAGCGGGATTCCCAATCCCACGCGCCCGCGTCCTCACCGCCCGCTGCCCCGGGTGATACCTGTGAGCACGGCTCCCACCCAGGGCTCCGTTCAGTCACGCCCAGGCGCCAGTGCCGCGACGAGGCGTGGAAGTCGCCGTCCTGGCCGGTGAAGCGAGCTGACGCCGCTAACCACTCCAGAACTAAGAAACCGTGCCCCCACCCGGGCCTGGAACGTCGCTGTGGGCTCTGTGCCTTAAGAAAGCCAAGGCGCGCTCCGGCGCACTCCCGCGCAGGCGCGCCAGCCGTAGAAGGAGCCCCCAGAAGCCCCCGCGGCCGGAGTCTGTACAGCAGACGGGGTGGTGGGGGGGGTGGGGTCTTTCCCAGTCCCGCCCCTTCCCCCAGGCCCCTCCCACTCCATAGACTAGCATCTGACCCTAGCGCCAAGGATGGATGCATACCTGCCATACTTGGTGCATGAGAGGAAGGGCGCTTCAAACTTGGTCGCTTCCCGCATCCCATTGGGTAAAACTGGCCAAAACCTTTCTTACCTTCTTCTCGTCCCCCACCTCCACCTCCTCCCCCCCCCCCCGCCATTTGTTTGGAACCAAAAAACAGTCACATAATTTCGACAAGATACCATCTTGTGTGTCACATGTTTTAACATGTTTTTCACTCAGTGACTCACTGATTCAGTTTTGCATGAGGTAAAGATCTTGCGAAAGATCATGAGTTCAGTTTTCGCTTGTTGAGTATGAGATACTTGGTGACATCCAGGAAGCTTTGTCAAATAGTCAGTTAGATACAGGCATCTGGAGCTTAGAGGTGTCTGGGGCTAGACGGGTAACGTGTGTCAGTTCTGCTTGGATGGTAATTGATGTTATGAGTGGAGAGGAGATTGCAGAGAGAGAGAGAGACAGAGAAGAGTCGAAGGAGAGGGTCTAGGATTGAGTCCCAGAGGAAGAACCTAAACTGGTAGGGAGCTTCACATCTAGGCCATGAGTTGATCAGGTAAAACAAGGATGATTTTTTTACCTGGGAACTAGGATTTTTTTGCTAACTTCCTCTGTACTCAGTACTATCATCAGCAAATTATAAATATCAGCTCACTTAATCATCACCACAACACTATAAGGTAGAGATTTTCATCCCCAAATTTACTGAAACTAAAGGATGGCAAAGGTAAACTTCAAGCTCAGATCATTTGATACTTGTCCCACTGCTTCTCACTCAATGCTTCAAGATTTAAAGAACCATTAATAAGATAGAATTGTGGAATGGTATTTTTCAACATTGGGAGTATGGTGTGTGCTGTGAACTGTTTGTGATGGGGTTGACCTGTATAAAAGTCATATTTAACTAGCTAGGCAAAAATAAAAATTTAACTTGAAAATATTGTCAATAAACAGGCTCAAACATGATCTACAGCCAAATAAGAGTGCAGGGAAATGGAGAAGGCACAGAATAGGAGGGAGAATGACCAGCCTTCCTCTCATACCTCTCATAGGTGTGAAGCTTCTGACCATGTGTCTTCAAGGGTCCACTGAAGCCTGGACATTGCTGTCTAATTAAACAAGGGTGATTTTCAGGTTGCAGTCATCTCACCGAAGGTCCAGCTATTCTTATGGCACAACTTCACAAGTTTCTTTCAGTATATGACTTTCAGTGTAAAGTAAAGGACTCTGAAGCCATCTGGGACTAGATCCTTAAGATGCATAGAATTGTTTGCTACAAACTCTATTCCCTTCTATCATCATGAAATCCAGCTCTTCTGAATTAGAGCCTGTCTGTATTTATTTAAGAAAAAATGCAGAGAAAACTCGACCTGACTTAGGCCAACACTTTTCCTGGATCACTTATATATTCATTCATCAAATTTTTATTGAGAATCTAATATGTGCCAGATACTGTACTAGGCATTGGGAATATATCAGTAAACACAATCAGACGAGGACTGTCTTAACACCCGACAGAAGCATTCCCTATGCTAAGCTAGTGTATCTCTTTACTCAACCTTCTGTGTTCTATACATTATCAGAATACTGTGTCGTGTAGACTGTGAGTTGCACTGGTCAGTCTGGAATTGGTAAGTAATCAGCACATTAGTGTGTGATTTGGTTTCATGGGCCATGTGTAATGAACATTTGTCAAATTTCGGCTTCTGATCATCTGAGTACCCTTTCCATCTTCATAGTCCTCTGTGAATCTTGGGGGAAGTTCGAGTCTATCTCCCTCCGTGGAAGCTAAATACACCGGAAATTCACTTTCTTTGTCTCCATTGCAGCTAGGGCACAGCATGTAACTTGGACTCAGTCAATTAGATACAATCAGTCTAGGCTTTGAATTAAGAGCTGGTGATATAAAAAAGCAAAGATAGCCAACAGTTTCTTTTCTTTTCCTTTAAAAATATAGACTTTTTAAAAGCAACTTTAGATTTACCGAAAAACTGAGAAGATAGGACAGCAAGTTCCCATATAGCCACACACAGTTTTCCCTTTTATTGACATCGTCCGTTATTATGGCACATTTGTTACAACTAAGAAAATATCATTGATACCTTATTATTAACTAAAGTCCATACTTATTCAGATTTCCTAGTTTTTTTGTTTTTTACCTTCTGTCTTTTTCTGATCCAGGATCCCATCCAGGATAGCATATTACATTTAGTCGTCATGTCTCCATCGGCTCTCTTCGCTATGACACTTTCTTAGACTTTCCTTGTTTTTTGACCTTGACAGTTTTAAGGAGTACTAGTCAAGTATTTTGTGGGATGCCTGTTTATTGGAATTTGACATTTTTCTCATGATTAGACTGGGATCCTAGGTGTTGGGGAGGAAGTTCACAGAGGTAGAGTGCCATTTTCCTCACATCATGTCAAAGGTACATACTATCAACATGACTTGTCACTGGTGATGTTAACCTTGATCACCTGACTGAGGTGGTGTTTGCAGACAATTTCTTTTTCTCTTTTTCTGTCAGTGGCAGAGGAAGCAGCAACATCCCAATTTCCAGACTCAGCAGCTCCAGCAGCAGGGCCTGTGCTGATGGTGAGGGTGGTGTGAATTGCACCATCTAGTATTGAATGGCAGTGATGTCCTCCTCATCACACTGCTATGATTGTGGCCTGTGATTCTGGCTGCAGGACCAGAATTACCATTATTTCTGTCTTTTCCCTTTTAACTTATATCATACGTACTCAGTTTCTATTACTTGAGCTTAGGAACCCTGGTCAATACATCATCTTTATGATTTTTGGGTGTGTGTACTAAATATTTTTTCTTTAGAAGCTTTGTGGCCCTTTATTTCCCCTCTCCCTCCATAGCATGAGAGGTAATAGTTTCAAGCAGGCAGCTTTTTACTGGTAATGTGAAAAAGCCCTGCTGGCATCTATTTTGATGGAGCGAATGGTTGCATGGTTCTCGCAGGGGTTCAGTTATCCATTACTGTATAACAAAATGTCTCAAAACCTGGTGTCTTAAAACAGCAACCATTTGATTTTGCTCTGGATTCTGTGGTTCAGAATTTGGACAGTGGGGATGCAATTACCTGTAATGGCAATATTTAAGATATTACCACGGGAGTGAATGGCAGAGATCATTGGAGGAATGAGGAGGAAGAAATTGTGAGAATGTAGAATATTTGAATATTTCATTCTATATGAAAATTAAAATAACCAAAATCTATAACAGGAGCAGTGTGTTGAGGAGAGTGGCAGGGAGCCAGGGATTAAAGTCTTTAAGGAAAAGGGGAGAGT